TGAATGCAAAATGACAGTTTGCTGAATGAGCTATTTTTGTTAGTTCGGTTACCATGGACACTCAATAATTGTATTTATTTACTTTTTGCTTATCTTGTTCAGGATGAGAAAAGAATATAGAAGATCTAATCCAATATACAATGAACAATAGAAGTGCCAAGTAGAAGCAATGTAAACAGTGTGTTTTGTAGAGACTTTACACATTCAAGAAGGGAAAGTCGTATGTTAAATTGTTTCCCGAATGTGTGCACTGCTATGGTCCAACTTTTGCTACCATAGTTTGAAGCCTATCAAGTTAGGCATATTTCTGCTCCTTCTAGAGCTGCTGAAGAGCAGCAAAGCCTTCTCTGTTGGTACTCTTGGAGCACCACCTAATGGATGAGTTAGGAAAGGTCCTTTTCCAGCAAGCTTCTGACCAGCCTAAATTTCTTGTGTTCTTATCATCAAGTACCTGCTCATCAACACCATTTCAAAGTTGTACCCAGCTATGCCAAATGGCAGATAAATAAAACAGTTGGTTAAGGAAAGCTGCCATTCTATGTGTGATACCAGTATGTCTTTCACATGTACTGGCAACTTGAACTTTCTTTAAATGTTTGGGTAGACTATAGACTAAATTTGCATTTTCTTCTAAGATAACTTTGTGTTTGAAATTGTTAAAGAAAAAAAATTGACATATTTCTTACTTTCCAAACAATCTCCACAAGTATTTGAAGGACCTTCCAGTCAGCTTCATGAATTACTGTTCTTGAGTGTCTTCATAACAGAGAACTGAACATAACACTGATAACTTCCCAAAAGACAAGACAAAGAAGGCTCGAAGGCCTCTGGGTCTATGTAGTAATGACTTTCAACCATTTCTTACTGCCCTGCTTTGCCTCTTTGTACGAATGGTAGTTGCAACTCAGTTGTCATCTATTTTTGTTTAGTTTTTTCTGCTGCTTCCTAAGAAAGAAGGGAGTAGAGAAGAAATGAAGGCAGAACCAAAAAAGAAGGAAAATGGAAGGCATTAGTAGATGTTGAGTTTCCCAGAGCAAGGATCTTGGCTGGTTCTCTAGGGCAGACTGTCCTCGTAACCCTCTTGGTGTCTTCTTGCATGGGGGATGTTCTCCTAACTGAGGCCTTTCCACTTCTTGGCCAACATCTCTATCTGTTTCCATCAACAGTTCTCTGAAATGCCCACAGATTTTTTGCTTTTCTTGCCGCGAGAAGGAAAGTTTCTCTTTCCATTGGCAGTTTTCCTGCTATAATGCTCTCCACAGGCCTGCTGTCCTGTTTGGAAAGAGATCCTTCCCAGCCAGGTTTGAGCTCCTAGCCAGCTGCGGGACCTGCATGTTCCTGGCAGCGTGGGCCCTTTGCTGGCCGACAGTAACACTACACCTCTTCTCCATATGCAGCCTGCTAGCCCCCAAACTTTCTCTGTTTGAAGTCTGACAAAGAGGGATTTGACCTTTACTTACAGTCCTTATTACTGTACACAGTTCATCTCTTTTCCTCTTTCTCCTTTTGCTTTATCCATTTAATAAGGGGTAGGGCTTTTCAGAGTCTGATGAAAGCTCCCCATTGACTTCCAACAGAAAATATTATCAAGTTTATCTGATATCTCTACAAGAGTAAATTTTTGGACAACACCCTTCCAAAACATATTACATCTGCCCTGTCTAGTAACAAGCTGTGCCTGGTCCCATGATTTCCTAAGCTCCTTTCTTGCAGGACAGCAGCATTTATCTTTAAAGGCAAGGCAGCTGAAAAAGTGAATAAAAATGCAGTATAAAGATGAGTCTGGCTCAGGAAACCTCTGATCCAAAGACCACTGGAGTCTTGGAGGTTATTTGGAGGCAAATAACCCTCTAATTCCCTTCCCTGGGCATCCCACTGCCTACTATCAGGAGAGGACCATGGCTTACATGGCTCTTTGGTCTGAACCAGTGCAATTGTGTAGCTCGGTGAGGTTGACTTGGACCCCAGATCGGTAGTTCCCTGGCTATGCAGTATTCACTGTTAGGACTGTTGGAACCTTTCTGATTTGGAAGTCCTTGACAAATTGCAGAAAGTGGGAATTTGGGTGAAAATTTGCTAGGAATCGAGTGGGTTTCTCTTTTCAGGCTGCTACATTACAGTGAAAAAAGACAAGGGATTAGCGGCCAGATGATTTGAGTGCTCAGTGGACTTTGAGTACTCAGCAGGTAGACTGAGTTTTTCCTCTTACTCTTTGGAAGTTCTCCTCACTGACCCAGGACCCCGACTTGCTATTTATATCTGTGGCACATGGACACTTAAAATAATTGACTTCCTACTGGATGCATCATTGCCCAACTTAAAGAGCAGTAAGACTCAATTTTATATGTGCCACATTTCTGATGTAAAATTGTGTCATTGGCAAAGAAGTTGGGCCACCAGCTGAAACATGTTTTATAGACTTGTGTGTTCTCAGTTTCCCCTCTCATGCCGAAGGGATTTTCTTCATTTTCCCCATTGTGTTGGATGCAAAAAACCCCACAATACTCCACATTAACCAGTTGGTTCTCCTTTTGTTTGCTTGAAGACAAACTCTAAAATCACTGTATTAATAAGTAAGCATCGAGATGCTCTTGGACTGAACATTGGTTTTGCTCTGAGAGTGGACTTCAGTATGCAGGGAAAACAGTTGCCGACTCAGGCCAGACGCCAGTGCAGTGCCCGAACCGTGGGAGCTGCTGGGTGCGCTGCGGCAGACTGGTCTGGTCTCTGGCAGACTCGACATTTGTCAGACAAGTGCTGCAAGCTGCTGTGTTAGTTCATTCGGAGGCTGCTCTTTTGCTTTTGTGCTGGGGTCCACTGCAAAATTTTCAGTTTAGGGGGTAGGGAAGAAGGTGACATAAGACAGAGGAGAGCTATAAACCAGTGGTTATTTAGAATTTATTGCTTTTTTAATATTCTGTGCTTTTTTGCTGATCATGCAGAGATTTCTTGCAAATATTTGGATACCCTTAAACAACGTGCATGTTGATAGTGCATATTTTTGGTTTGTTTTCTGATCGATGCATCTTACAAGATGTGATGATTCTCATTTGGTAGAATGTACAGAATGAGGTCATTCTGACAACAAACTATTAGCAAACAATACGCATGACTTGAGATTTTTCAACTTCATTTTACAGCATTCTTTGCTTTTTGAATCTTGCAGTAAGATTTCTCACTGAGCTCCTTGAAGGGATTGATTTCTTTTGTGAAGCTTTGGAGAAACGAGAACAAGGTGGAGATGATGTAGATAGGTTTTTTGTTTGTTTGCTTGTTTGTTTTTGTTTTACCACTGATGGATGTTATTAAAGACCTCAACAATGGTCAAGCCTTGTTTAAATGAATAGGATTTTTGCTTGAAGAGCCAGGATTTTACCCTGTAATAGTCATTCAAAGTTTGTTTAAGTCTGCTCTTATAAATATACGAAGATGCAATAACTGTCCCACCATTTTAATACAGTTATTAGTTCAATTTCCAAGGGAATTACAGCTGGAAGCAGTATGATCCAGTGTGGGTTTATATTACAACTTTTTCATTCCACAGTGGTATCAGAATCCAAACTGTGCCTCTATTTGGTTTATTAATTTGTTTTTCTGAACATTTGCAGAATTGTAATATCCCAGTTTTGCCAAAATCAGACCTCAGTTTGGCAGACTTTTCATTTATCAATTCCAGTTGTTCCTCCACAACCCTTTGAGGATTTTTTTTCATGTAGTCAATACTCTGTGTACTCCATCATGCACTCAGTTAGAGGACACGTCAGATACATCTGCATTTAAACACAAACTATATTACTTCTCTCTTACTTTTGGCCCAGGCTATGTTTTGCTCTACATTAAGGATTTTGGAATGACAAATGCTTACAGTACAGTATAGCATCTAAATTGTAGTGGTTTGTGTTATGATTACAGTGTTGTCATAGTAATATAAATTTTGCAAATGAAAAGCCAGGGTTCACATATGTAGTTCTTACAAATCCTGGAAGGCCTAGGGTGGGTCAATTAGTCATACGTTTTATAGCATCCCACATACAATAAGCTTTCTTAAGTCTTAGCAATGCACAGTATTAAGTAGAATTAGCTGGGAATTCTTAAGAAAGTACTATTTTGAAAAAAGGCAAATGTAGTAGTTGGATTTTAGAATACCTTTCTCCTCCTTGTTCAAGAGAATTGTCCTTTGCACTGCACCTAACACACGTTAGCTCATTTGAGTCAGCCAAGCCGTGTGGGCGCACCACCCATGTACCGTGCCGTTTACGGGGAGAATGGCCTACCGCAGTGGGAAGTTACATGTGCTACCTTCTGAACGACCTTCAGATATGGAATGGGGTAAAGAAAATGCACTTTAAAAGACAGCCGTTGGGAAAGTCCGTTTCTGAAAGTACACAGCTGAAAAAAGCACACTTAGTTTTTCCACTTAAACATCCAGTAGTGTTCAAAGGTCTGACAAAACAGCCCTAACAGCTCGGTTTCATGGCAAAAGTGGCTGATGAACCAGGGCTGGCTGCTGGCCGTCTGCCGTTGTTGCCGCTTGCTTCCCTTGGCCACGAGGCGTTACCCTTCCCCACGCTGGGTTAGTCTCTGCTGGCCAACAGCCGCTGCAGTTCCAACGCGGGCACGGGCTCCCTCGGAAACTCTGTATCCAGACTGGAAGTGATGGTGCAAGCTGGTGCCAGGGTGGCGTAGGAATAATGACACACGGTGCACAATACAATATCAGTTTTGTCATTAAAATACCCTTTCTTTTTTTTGTCTTTTGTTATATCTTAGACCTCATTATTATGTCATGGAAGTTATATTTAATCTAACCATGAACTTTAGCTATTTTCTTACTTTCTTGATCTAGTAAAATTTGTTTCTGAAGTGTAATTGTCTCTTTATTAAGAACAGACTTTTAATGGACATGGAATCTTTGTTCAAGTGCCTGAACAAGTTGGGAGAAAAATTGCGATGTTTTTAATAAATAACTCTTGGTGTCTTTTTTTCCTGTGCGTATGCAGTCTATGAGTCTGATAGAGATTGGGAACCCTTCGCAAAGTCTGGAAAATGTGTGTCGCTGGGCCTACTTGCAACAGAAACCTGACACTGGGCATGCAGAATATCACGACCATGCTATCTTTCTCACAAGACAGGATTTTGGTCCATCTGGCATGCAAGGTAAGATGTACCTCAGGTTCTGTTTTGTAAATGTCAAGACTTCTGAGCAGCATTTGTGTTTATCACTTAGCAAGGCTAGTTATGCAAGGTTTAATTGTGTATTTTTTGCTTAGTTTTGTCAATGTTTTCTTTCCCCAAGAGCTCTGTATACAGCCATTTTCAGTTGTAACTGTTTCACTTATTATTTTATCCTTTCTTACTGGTGAGATTATTTATTGGATCACTTCATTGCTCTTGCTGAAGCCAAGCAATGGGATCCCTATGTAAACAGTGCTGAAAATGCCCAAAGATTAAAGAACAGATCCTGTGTTTAAAAAGTCTCCAAAGCTGTTGCTGCGTTCCAGCAGGATTGCCAAGAAATATTGTTATGGAGAAGTCTGGAACAGCAGGGCCAACTGCTGTCCGCTTTTTCCTTTTTTCAGGGCTCTGCCTCCTGTGAGATCAGGTTTGTTCACTGGAGGGGATAAACCTCAGAGCTTTCCCGTTCCTTTTGGGTTGGCCAGATCTGCTGTCAGCGCAGGGCTGGGGCTTTGCTCATGCATCCCCCGAGGGCTGGAACTGCACCGAGCTCCTCGTGAGCGTGTGGTGTGTCCTTTTCCCCTGTTGCCTCGTGCACTTGGAGAAGGCAATTGCAGGATGATCCTAGAGGTGGCAACAGTTTTCTTGGTGAGCCAGGAATATAGTTTTAATTTGTTCAACAGGCTGGTTTCATTTGTTTCGTAGATGAGGGAGCACATTATTAAATGTTGGGGGGCGGAGGTCTCTTGAGAGGACCGCTTCAACTGTATTTGTGTCACAACAGAAGAGAGATGTTTGTCCTAGAGCTTCTCACCACATTGCCTTTCCATACTTGTTCATTTTCTGGAACACGGGGTATTTCTCACAGGCTACGCTCCAGTCACTGGCATGTGTCATCCTGTTCGAAGCTGCACTCTCAACCATGAAGATGGTTTTTCATCTGCATTTGTGGTGGCTCATGAAACTGGACATGTGTGAGTAGAACTGTGGACATCCTGTGTCCTAGTTTATGATGTCTTTGGTACTGACAAATACCCATGACATTGGAAAGATGCAGTTTATGTTAAGAAACAATATTCAGGGTTAGCCCTGGCTTCAGATCTCAGCCCTCCCAAGGCTTTCTTTGTAGTCTTTATATTTTGGTCTTTTCAAATGGAAAAAGGAACTAATACCAAAATACCTTCCAGAGCTGCTGTGAGAGTAGATTGAATGATGTATTATAGTCTGGTGGAAATGTAAAGTACTCATAATGATGAAATATGAATTCATTGAGTCAGTGGAATACGTGATTCTTGAAAACAATGCATATTAAATAAGCACATCATCTGTATATGTTATTGCTGGTAAAGGTACAATACCATATAGAAACGAGGTACCAAGCACTGAGGTTACAACTGTTCTGTATATTTCATATAAAAAATGCAATCATTTTACTTATTGATGTGATTAGAACCAATGACCGGGCAGCAGTTGTCAGAGCTTTGATTTCTCTCAGAGCGTTTTAGTTTCCCTGTTTGAGAGAACACCCACCGATGGCCCATTTTCTCTTTGGTAAAACAACAGTTCCCAGAAGGCTTGTTCTGAACAGTTTCAATCTATTCCGTTTTCCCCTGGAAAGCCTGCAGGCCCTTTTCTCTTTGTTGTATCAGAATTATTAAGGGCTTTAAACAAAAAATTGCCAAAGTTTATTGAATCTTACTGTAAATGTATATTAATTAGACAGGGATATAAAATTGATACCCAGATGGTATTTGATACCAGAATTTTTGAATTAGGATTAAAAAAAATACACAGTGAGCTTTAAAAGAGAGACCACTGAAGGATGTTTGTAATCCCTCAAATTGCATTCAGCCCCAATCTGTTAATTTGGTTTAAATTATGGACAGATACCGCCCGTGTTAGTCAAACAGTGCTCATAGAAAAAATGCAATATAAGATCCTAACAAAGGGAAGGAGAAAATATACTCATAATAAAGCCAAAAAGGAATTTCAAAATATCTGTAACTTGGGGTAATTTTCTAGAAAGCACCCAACACTTTCCGGGCTGTTTCACATTTAAACAATGTGGAATTGCTACTGAGCAATAGCAGCAGCTAATCTAAACTAGCTTTCAGCATGGCGTCTTTTTTTTTTTTCATGCAAAGGACTTGTCTACAATTGCAAATTACTTCAAATTAAGCTAAGGTGTGATTTTTAAAAAGTTAGATAAACTCCTGAATAGCTCCAGATTGGAATATGAATAAATTTCTGTTAATACTCCTGGAGGGTGCACTAGATCCTTAATCCAGAGATGGATTCATTTAGCCATAGTTATTCACAAATGTGGATGTGCACAGAAGTCCAAAGAAGGCATTTTTGGTCTATTTTGAAAGTGGATTAAGCTAATCACATGAAGGTACTCACAAGGGTCAGTGCTTCTATGTGGGAGCTACTACAGACTAGCTCCTTAACTTCAGTCTCACCCTGTCTTCTCTCTCATGACTTTGCTCATGTGGACAAGGGTCATGGGACTTAAGAACCTTGTTGCAGTCAACCACTGGTGACATTGTGACATTTGGGATATGAAAGCACTTGGGCACTCAGAGTTCACCTGCGATGTAACTGTGCTGGCTCTTTCCTGTGCGGGGCAGTTTAGGCATGGAGCACGACGGCCAAGGGAACAGATGTGGGGACGAAGTCCGTCTGGGGAGCATCATGGCCCCCCTCGTGCAAGCCGCGTTTCATCGTTTCCACTGGTCCCGTTGCAGCCAGCAAGAGCTGAACCGATATCTCCAGTGAGTAGCTGTTAAGCAGCCTCTCTCCTTTGATTAGGAAGCATGTAAGAACAACTCTGCATCTAGCATTTTTGCTTTCTCCTTGTGTTAGTTACTCAAATGGGCTTGAATAAAACAAACAGAGAATCCCCCCCATCCTATTGGGAACGAGATGCTTTCCCATCGATTGCAAATAATAATGCAAGTTCTCAATTAGTTTGATTTCAGTCCATTTTTAAATTGTTCTCATTTCGTTTACGTCTATTCATTTTCTGGACATTGATAGTATATATGCTGTCCTCTCACGGGTTATGAGAAGACACTATTATGAATCTCGTTGCTAACTTTCCTCCCTCCCTAATGTAACCTCTAGCTGGAGGAGTGCCTATGCTACCCAGCAGCGTGGTGTCTGTCTTACAGATATCAAATTTGGCTTCAAGGGCCATTTATTGCTTATTGTACCTGTCAATGATAAGACGGTGCTGCCTAAAGAGGAAATTCTGCCCTTTAAGTCCTCAGGGCTTTTCTTGACTTTAATAGATATCTAAAGAAAAGGCGTGGTTCTAGAATTAATTCTTCAGTTGTCACTTTTCCTTTACGTACCCTAAATGCAAAAGCCATTTTATTCTGCAATCCTTGCAACAGCTTCATCCATGTCCCCTGCCTTCCCTTTGAACCTGACCCTGCGCTGGAGTTCCCTGACAAACTGATGTTATGACCATGGTTTTGCTCCTTATAGAAAAGATCTTTCCCTTGTTGTTACGTGCAAGTTGTATGGAAAAATATGGGGAAACTACTAGGATATCCAGCAAAACCTGAAAACAAGTAGGGAAAAAATGCAGCAAAATACATGAAGTGAACATGAGTTAGTTTTTATTATCTTAGATATTTTAGGTATGGCAATAAGGAATAAAAATATTGTGGGAGAAGTGTGATTGTTTCAATTAGCAAGATCCTTTACAGCTTTAGCCATTCAATAAAAATCATCTGGCCTCGAGGGCTGCTTTACATTCTTTTAAATACAGCCATTTTAAAATATCTTATAACAAAGCAGAGTGATGGTTTGCTTTGAAGTAAATCTAACCTCAAAATTCTGCTTTCAACTATTGGTATCTTTAAGGCAACCTGAATGATTGCCAGAATAGACTCGTGTATGGTGTCCTCGTGTCTGTTAAATAACTCGGAGACATTTCAGAGATACTGTTGATCATGTTGGTTTTGTGAATTAATCAATGATTATGCCGTGTTAACCATTCAGTGATACTAGCATCAGTCCTCTGTTCTCCACGCGACTTAGTCAAACGTGATTCTAGTACGTTACAGGCTGTCCTCACGATTTAGGAGAGGAGAAACTCCCATCACACAGAAAGGAAACTTGGCACAAATTGTGGATGGAGCTGAGAGCTATCAGGAGAAACAGAGAGGGAACATGAGCGTTTAATGCAGGCAGGAAAGTACACATGCTTGTAAATGAGTCGCTGCGTCTCAGCAAGGACACAGGAAAACTGCAAGCTTAGTGGTAATCTCGTATGATTACCCTGGCTTTTGCTTCTAAAACTTCACTTGAAAGACAGTTGCAGGCAGCAAGAAATTCCACAAACGGAAAATTAACTAAACTTTCTTTTCTTCTCGGTTTCACGTGGGTTCTTCCTTTGGTTCCTTTCACATAAGGAGCCTCGAGACTGATAGGAATTTACCTGCAAGCTAAATGGAAATTACAATGGAAGGGCTTCAGAAAAAAAAATATAGATTCCATCAAAGGTGGATACAACATGATAAAGTTAATGTGAGTGTAATCACAATATTAGCTGTTCTTCACGACCAGCGTCTGAGAAATCATAGGCTCTGTTTTGTTTGGAACAAAAAGGCACTGAAACCACAAACACTGTGCAAGTCTCACAGTCCCATCTGTTACTGTAATTTTTGCCTGTTGCAGTTCCTATGATTGTCTGCGTGATGATCCCTTCGAACATGACTGGCCTTCCCTTCCACAGCTGCCAGGAATTCACTACTCCATGAATGAGCAGTGCCGTTTTGATTTTGGTTTGGGCTACATGATGTGCACAGCTGTGAGTACTTAAGTTTGGCTTCTGCTGTTTCTCATCCAGGAGTGTTGTAAGTGTCTCTGAAATGCCCTTAATAGGGAGAGTGCAGTGAAGCCCACAAGGAAGGATGTTGTGCCCACTTAGCTGTGAGCAAGGAATAACAACTGAATGTTGACAAATAATGTTATTTTAAATATCTCTGTCTTTTTTTTTTTTTAAACTGGAGTTACAGAAATAATTATTCTGTAGTTTCATAAATAGCTATAGACTTCGAGCAAACAAGCTTGCTGCATTATTGAGCCTTCTGTTGCTGGCAGCTAGTTATTTTGCTACAAAAATCCTACCCAGATGTGAAGGAGATGGATTTGGTGGCACATCTTTTAGCGCTAACATGGGTCAGTACCCTTTTGTGATCCAATTTTACAGAAACAGTAATGCATTTTGATGCCTAGCATGAGAAAATAAGCGTGACGGCGAGTAGAGCAACTTGCAAGGACTCTTGATGACATGGTTGGCTCTCTTGTACCAGGAAAACAAGAGTCAAAGTCTAAATTTAAAGCAAGGCAAGATTAGTGCAGTTCTCAGTGGATTGGCCTCAGAAAGCAGAGTTTTCTGCAGCAAGGCTGTGCCCCCACCTCCAGCTCCTCAAGTAGGACAAAATATGAAATGGAGGGAGATATTTTCAACTGGTGTGGCAGCTGCTAGCACATAACATTTCTGCTTTGTTTCCCATCTGCAGGAATATGTGTGCTGAGTGGTGTCTCTAGGTAATGGATGAGAACCTTTAAAGCATCAGCTGTAGTATTGTGTCTTGACACAATTCCCACTGATGCTGCCTTGGAAGAATGTCCCAGCCAAAGAGGGTCTTTTCTTACAGCCGTTCTCCAGAGCCTGGGCGACGGAGGCTTTGTATTCTTCTTTGTTCAGAATAGCCAAAAGCATGTCCAGACATCATGTTTTAGTATATTGTGTGGTGGGTGGTTCTCATCCTCTCCTATACAAGCTCTTGCATTGTAGGTAAAATGCCGATTTATTCATTGGATCAGGGTCCTGAGCTCAAATTTCCATCCTCCTAAGAAGGTGATTGCAACAGCTGAGCTAAGTCTGAGCAGCCCGTTTCCCTCTCCCATGAGTACTCAAGTATTTTTTGTTTTATTTGCCAAATGAAGCAGCTCCATGTGGAGCTTCCTCTAAGACAGTGTGTGTCTTACTGTCCGGGGGAACTGGTTTCCCCCTTGCCCAGTCTGCCTTTGGTCACTAGCGTAAAACTGGTTTTGCCCAACCTTATTCCGTCGAATGCAGGTGGGATCTCACTTCAGAGTCATTGATGATTTTGCATGAAAGCTCGGATATGCTTAATCCACAGACACCGCGGTGCTCCTCAGGAATCAGCGATAACAGCTGGCATTGTGCAGCTAGGAAAGGAAAAACCCCACCATGCTGCACCTTCTGTTGCAGTTTCCAGTGGGAGCTCTCTCAAAGCGTCGTCCGCTCTGATTTTTCTTGTGTTTCAGTTCCGCACATTTGATCCCTGCAAGCAGCTGTGGTGTAGCCACCCCGAGAACCCCTACTTCTGCAAAACAAAGAAAGGGCCTCCGCTGGACGGGACCATGTGTGCACCAGGAAAGGTGAGAGCGGGTGCTGCGTGTACCCGCACACTCACGTGTGTTCATGTGTGTTTGTGTGCAGTTGGGGATGTTCCCCCTTAAAATCAAGGGGAAGACGAGAAAGACTTGAAGTCCGCTAAGATGTGGGGCAAACTCATGAGTGCAAGTAAGGCCGTTGAGCAGCACGAGGGGAGGAGGCAGGGGCCAGGGCTGGGGTGCCTGCATGGCAGCTCTGTGACCATCGAACCCCGTTCTCATGCAAGTCATGGAAGTATCTGCAGGTTGCCCTGTGCTTCTTGGCAAGTCTGTGTGGCAGAACCAAAAATGGGGAAATTTCCACTCGCCCACGACTCGTGTGAGGCCAGGGGGGTTGTGTTTGTATCAGTGATGTAGTGATGGTGACTGGCCTCCCTGGTGCTGGGGGAGCAGAAAGCAGTGAGGTCCTGGAGATGACAGCCAAGCTACGGCCGCTGTGGCTGCCCCGAGGGAAAGGATGGATGTGGGAGTCGAGTGCCAACTGCCACCGTGACGGCAGAGAGCACTATGAAGAGAGAAGGGCAGATCTGCGGAGGTAGGCTTGCTGGCTTGATGAGAGTCAAGGGAGGCATGAGGAGCTGTGGAGGGAAGGCACGAGGTGGCAAGGGCTCAGACAGCTCCGACCCCTCGGCCACCATGCTGGACCTGCTCCAGGTCTCCACTATCCTTCTGTGGGGGTATCGCTGTGCTCGTGGCGGATCTGAACTCAAGTCCTTTGAAGTCTGCTGAACAAGCCTGGCTTCCCTGGGCTTTGGATGCAGTGACTGAGGGGGAGAGGAGGATGTTGCTACTTGGAAAGATGTTTTGTAGAACCCAATGGGTGACATCATTTATGCGATAAATGAACCGTATTAGCAGCTGCTGTTATGGTTTGAAATGTCTTTTTTATGAAAACATAACGTAATGCTAAATTAATTCCCCAGCAAATCATGCTCTATATAAACCACTCCCTTCTGGTTTTCTCTTCTTTAGATTATTCCTGTTATAACATCTTTGTTTCTTGTTTA